CTTCGTTGGCGTACCAGCGTTTTCCTTCACTCATGGCAGCCCTTGACAGTGCGGTCCAAGGCCGTACCATCTTGCCTGGTGCTGATGAACCACCTACAAAGAAAGTCAGAACAGCTAAGGTCAACAGTACTTCGACAAAAGAAGAGGAAGAGGAAGATAGCGAAATACAATGCCTACGTACTGACCTTAAGCGCAAGAAACCAACAGTTAAAGCTCAGATGGTTTTTGCTGACGACAAACCCTCGACGTCCTCTGGGTCCAGTGGCTCTGACACCCCTCAAACTGATGGCCGTGGTCGTGGAAGAGGCCGTGGCAGGGGTAGGGGCCGTGGAAGGGGCCGTGGCAGCTTCAGTGGCCGTGGGAATTATTCCGGTGGTTACAGTGGTAACTTCAGGTCTGATCCCTGCTCCATCTGCAACAAAAGAGGCCACAGTGCTGAAAGTTGTTGGTACAGTGAAGGCAACGGCAGTGGTAACTTCCAGGCTGCTCCACACACTTACCCGATGTATCCGCCACAGTTTTACCATGCTGGTATGTCGTGGCAGAACCAGTGGGGAAACCAGTGGCCCCAGTACAATCGTGGCCAGCAACAACAGCCAAATCAACAACAAAATTCCAACCAACAACAACCACAGCAGAACCAACCCAACAACAACAACAACCAGGGAAACTAGCAAGTGCTGTCCCTGAAGTGGTCAAGTCGGCAGCTACGGTACAAAGTGCCAAACCTCAATCAGACCACCTAAATTCACCCGATTTTGATCAATTTCCAACACCTGGAAGTCCAATGGTTAGATGGTCGTTAAATGGTGTAAAATCAAAATGTGTAAAAGACACTGGTGCAGTGATTACTGTTATCAAGAGAGGACACTTACCTGGACCTACACCAAAGCAAGCCAAAGCTCGTCTCAAAGGAGTCACCGAAGGAACGGGCAAGCTGTACGGTCCCAGGCTAGTCACATTTTCATATGGTGATCTCCAAGTTCAATTCCCAGCGTATGAAAGTGACATAGAAGACGATTGCCTGATTGGAAATGACTTCATTCACTATTTTGGAATTGGCATTGAAAGCTCTGAGGGGTACATTACTTTTAGAAGAACTTCACCAAATAATTACCTTCCAAATCCGGTTCAGATCCCGTGCGAAATGGTCCATGCTCCCAGTGTTGGTAGATTCCACTCTGGATGTGTGTACTTTGTCGCTCGAGCTAGCCGTACTCTGAATCTGGCGCCGTTAGCAGATGCCACAATAGTTACAGAACTAGAAGCTGACATGCAGTTTCCAAAAGTTCAGATAAATGATCAGCATAAATCCAAACAAAGAAAAAGTGGTTCCAGTGTGCACACTATAAACCAGATAAATATCAAAGGTTCCACAAAAGCTGACAGTAACATGGGCACTCTGTTAACGTCTCCAGAGAAGGAAGAAAGGTTCCACAAAGTTCAACGTGGCCTGATGACTCAACCAGTTCCGTGTGATTCAGGACCAAAGCCCTCTCAGTTGAATTCCAACATTCTGACAATGTCTGGAGTAGTGCCGTGTGTGACAGCACCAATGGAAGTCACATTACAAAATGCTTGTGATACTCCAATCAAAGTTCTAAAACACACAATTTTGGCAGAAGTCTATCTACTAAATTCAGTTGAGTATGAAGCTCAAGAAGAAGAATCCAGTCCAGAAATTCCAGTTCAAGCCGCAGTCGTTCAGTCTACAAATTCTCAGTCCTCCAGTATCACTTCTCTTGATGTCGACTTCAATCCTGTACCTAGTAAAGAGCCAATACCATCTAGTCAACCTTTACCACCAGATTTACATGATTTAGTCAAGAGGTGCAAAAACCTTACCACAAATCAAGAGGCTCAAGTTTCAGACCTTTTGCGGAAACATCATGATGTCTTTGCGCCAGACAACACAACGTTTGGTTGCTGTCCGTGGGTAAAGTTCACCATAGACACAGGAGACCATCCTCCCATCAAGATGCAAGCAAGACCAATCCCTCTTCATTACCGCAAAGCAGTCTTTGAAACTTTCATGAAGTACATAGAATGTGGAGCTGTTCGCCCGAGTAACTCAGCGTGGGCATCTCCCATTTTATGTGTACCTAAGAAGACAGGAGAAATCCGTGTTTGCATTGATTATCGAGCCTTGAATCATATTACAAGAGTTCCAGCCATACCTATACCTTTAACTAATGAACTTACTCAGAAAGTAGCTGGTCACAAGATTTATCACTCCTTTGACTTAGCTCATGGCTACCATAACCTTGTAATTGATGAGAAAGACATTCCCAAAACTGCAGTCATCTTGCCTGAAGATCTAGGCCTACCAGCTCGACATTTTGAATGGACAAGACTCAGTTTCGGTTTGTCTGCAGCTCCTGGCATTTTCCAACAAGTTACGGACCGATTGATGAGACAACCAAGAAATCCAACTCCTGAGAATGATGTTGGTCCACACAGTGCTGTCTACCTTGACGATATTTGTATCGCAGGTGATGACTTTCCATCTATGCTTCTCAGACTAGAAGCTCTCTTCAATCGTGTGCGTGCTTCAGGTTTCTTCTTGAAAGCCAAGAAATGCTTCATCTTCCAAGACAATTGTGAGTACCTAGGCCACATGCTTTCAAAAGAGGGAATAGGCACTGTAAACAAGAAAATTGACAAAATCACATGTTGGCCTGCTCCTAAAAATATAAAAGAAATGCGTACTTGGCTTGGTATGGTGAACTACTACATCAAGTTCTTACCTAACATGGCAACTGAAGCATCTCCTTTGTACAAGTTACTTCAAAAAGATGTTGAGTTCGCCTGGACCGGTGACTGTGAGAAGAGTTTTCAAACCGTCAAGAAACTTCTCAGTTCAGCTCCATTTCTGGGTGTACCAGACATCTCCAAAGGCCCTTTTGTCTTGTACTCGGATGCAAGTCTTACAGGACTGGGAGCAGCCCTGAAACAAAAACAAGGAGATCAAGAGGTTTTAATTGCCTACGGGTCTTATGTCCTCAACCCTGCTCAACAGAATTACTGTGTAGCACACAGAGAACTTCTTGCCCTAGTAGAAGCAGTGGAGCATTTTCATCATTACCTTGCTGGTGCCCCTTTCGAAGTCAAAACGGATCATGCAGCCTTGCAGTGGCTCCGCAATTTTAAGAACCCTTCAGGACTTCTTGCCAGATGGATCAGCAGGTTAGCTCCTTACAGCTTCACAATCTCCTACATTAAAGGTGCTGATAATGTCGAAGCTGATGCCATGTCAAGAAGACCAAATCGTCCTTGTTCCAGTGACTGCAAGAAATGTTCAAAATTAGAAATGCAAGACAAACTCCGCTCAACACCAGAACACAGTTCTACAACATTGGTGGCAGCGGTGGCAGCGGCTCACTCCAGAAACACTTTTAGTGTATTGGGTTTCCATCACACCCAATCCTGACTTCACACCTGTTCAGTTCAAAAAGGATCAACTATTGGATCAAGAGTTGATGCCAATTATAGTTGGTTTACAAGACAAATCAAGACCCACCTTTCAAGACATTGTTGGTCATGGTCCACGAACAAGATCTCTCTGGTTACAGTATCAGTCTCTCGTTCTTCACGATGGAGTTATGTATCGGAGACTTGAACATCCTAGCCTAGATCCAGATAAAGAGAGTTTCCAGCTTGTTCTCCCATCTAAGCATGTAGTGGACACCATCAAGTCATACCATGAAAATCCAGCTGCAGGAAACCATTTTGGTATTAGCAAGACATACGCTGCTCTCCATAAGGTTTTCTACTGGCCTGGAATGTGGGAAGATGTTGCCTCATTTGTTTTTCAATGTGAAAAGTGTGCAAGATTCAAACATCATAAAAGGTCAAAAGTTCCCTTACGAATTTTCAGAGAAGGTGTACTTCATGGCAAGTGGCACATTGACATCTGTGGACCACTCCCTCAAACTGAGGAAAACTACAAGTACATCCTTGTTGCTGTAGAAGCCTTCTCTGGTTGGCCTTTTGCTATTCCCATCAAGTCAAAGTCTTCTGAAGAAATTGCTGAAGTTCTAATCCGTGATGTTTTCTCTGTATTTGGATCTCCACTCTCCATCTTGTCGGATCAAGAAAGGTGTTTTACATCTTCTGTGATCAAAGATATTTATAATATCTATGGAATCCAAAGCAAGACAATTTCACTAGCACATCCACCTGCAAATGGAAAAGCGGAAAAGTGGATAAGAACACTGAAAGAACACCTGAAAATGATGGTTTCAAAGGATCAGAAAAATTGGCCAAAACATTTACCTCTCATCTGTCAAGCTTATAGAAGCATTCCTCACACATCAACAAAGTTTTCCCCCTACGAAGTCATCTTTGGTGCTCCAATGCGTACACCTTTAGATCTTCAGAGAGGCTTCCCTCCAGTCAGTGTTCCTGTCGAAACAACAATTCAAAATTATCCATTTTGGCTACGATCAACATTAGAAGAAATTCACAAGTTTGTGCGAGATCATTCTCACCAAGCAGCTCAACGTATGAAGTCCCACTATGATCTTCATGTCTCCCTGTCACCTTTTAAAAATGGAGACTTAGTCTGGTTCTACCATCCAGTCAGGTCAAGAGGCAGGTCGCCAAAACTTGACAGTCCATGGGAAGGACCACACAAAATTACCAAGATCATAAATGACACTGTTGCAGCTGTGCAGATGGTCCATAGTCCTCACACTCAACGCATAGTCCATCTCGACAAACTTGCCAGCTATGTGACACCTGCATCACCTATACAAGCAGCTTGGCTAACTTTCACCCAGTCGCCATAGAAACGGCAAACACAATGGCTGAGGAAAAGAAAACTCCATCAAAATTCTCCTTTGACAAAGTAAAATTAACATCAAGCATCAAGAGTATAATCACCAAATATCACCGCGAGAAGATATCAGCTGCTGAGGTCCCATCCTCAAGCTCATCCTCCACCTCGAGCTCAGATCCAGACCTCCGACAAAAACTTGAAGGGTTGAGGTTAAATGCAGCTGCTCCGGATTTGCGTGAAACTATCACCAAAATTCATCAGGACGCACCAAAACCTGCAACAAAGATGGTAACAACACGTCAGTGCACCATCATACCAAGAAAGACGGTGAAACTCATCACTATTCGTCGAAAGAGACCGACTAACCTGCCTGTGCCGGCTCCAGCATCTCCTGGACCTTCTCAAGATCGACAGCTTTTGTCGTCTCCGGCCTCTCCGGTCTTGAAAACTCCTCTCAAGAAGAAGCGTTGCAATCGGTGCCGCCGTTATGGTCATATTAACAAAATGTGTCCTTTAAATCCAAACAACAGGATGTTAATTCCTCCACCTCCAGAATTTCTGTGATTCACTTTTGTGATATTGTAATCAATTACCTGATGACTGTACCTGTATAATGCTCAATTTTTTTTAAAAGAAAAGAAGCTCCTATGGTTAATAAAACATGAAATATGTTGAACACATTTCTTTTCAATGAGGGGAAGAAGTAAACCGCCAAAAACTCCTGAGCTCTCACCCCACTCTCACAATGCAAATGAACAACTGATCATCAAAGAGACTATTGGCAGAACAACAGCCTGCGGATAGCAGTGGTCCAGATTCCTAAACAAGCAGACGACTTTCCACCAACGACTCAGACCAGCAGCGACAACAACAATCCTATCCTGAAATCAACTGAGATGACACTCCAAGTCTTACCAAATTCAAAGTTAAGTATTCGGATTCATTTCGAAATGTTAAGTCTTGTCAGAGTAAGCAGTCCTAAACTGCAGTGGTGTGTGTTAGGTCAGATAGTCAGGTTCTCC